AGAATGTTTACATCAAAATAATATTTTTGAGAATGACAGTTTTTCTTATAGAAACAAATCAGCATATGCAATATGAATCAAAACGTAACTTAAAACTAAAATAAATTTATTACTTTTTAATAACATTTTAAACATTTGTCATAACAAATAATAATTTTTCTTATAACGTTAGTTGTTATAGAAACTAAAATATACTTTTTTCTTTTCATTAAACATAAATCTGAGATACTTTCTTTATTGTACGTTATCCTTTTGCAAATATATCTTGAATATTTTGAGAAACCTTTTTTGCATTTTTATGTTTTCTTTATGATGTACCTCTTTTTGTTTGTAAATTTTGACCCATTCAGGTTCATTCTTTCGGCGCTTTCTAATGTTGCGTCTTGCATTATAAGAAGTATTGATGGCTGCAGAATCATTTTCATTGTTGGATTCTGCAATTAGCTCTGGACTTGATTGTCTAATTCTAAATCCATGCGTACTAGAAGCAATTGATACAGGTGCTATTTCGGGTTGCTTATTAATGAATTCATCGATCATATCAAAATATTCCCAAGATTCTCTGTTTTTCCCAGTTTGATTATTAGAATCTCGTACATTTTTATACCTTCGTTTCAAATTTTCCCATTTAGTGTAACATTGTTCCTCGGTTACATTGTAATCTTTTTCCTTAAAATTATTTGCTATTCTTCTCCATATTGTTTTATGCATACAATTTTTATTATTTAATGATACCACATGGTTTCTAACATTTTCTATTAAAAATTTTGTAGTTTGCATTGTCCACTGATATTTAGAGTTTTCTGTAACAAAATAAAATTATTAAAATACTATAATAATGTTCTACTATGCCATATATATAATTACAGGGTGGGGAAAAAAGATCGGTACCCCTGAATAACTCGGAAAATATAAGTTTTATAGAAAAATGTTCCAGACTAAAGTTGTAGGGCTTAAAAAGATCTATTTACTGATCTGTGCATTACACTTGTATTCTATCAACAAAGTTTTGCTGACAAGCAATGTGAGCAGATTGGTGGCAGAATATGCATTCGA